TACCAGCATAACTATCTGATCTGGCTCAAGGTCAGACAAGCACTGCCACCACCAGGATGGAAGAGCTGGGAGAGCTAAAGGGGATGGCAGCATCTCAACCATGGACATGGCCATGTCAGGGTTTTTAAAATGCTGCCTAGCAGCTGCTGGACTTCATGGGAAGCTGGTTAAAACTGGATATTCACAATGTTAAATAAATGCTAAATGTTTTAACTATGTGATGGGCTGGTGGTTTTCTGGTACAAAGACATTTAAAACTCGCTTTTACAATTTGGAAATTCTATAAAATTTTAAGACTGAAGCTTCTCTCTGTTCTTTGAAAACTCATTTATCTGTGATGGGAATAACAATGTGGCTGTGTTGCTGTCTACTTGTTTTGCTAACCAGAGAACATACTGCCAAATGAAACGGTAAAACAGAAACTTTTTCATTTCGTAGCAAGGAAAAAAAATCCCTTCAAATATACTCTCATATAATTTGCTTAAATCTTGTTTGGACAGCTTGCATAGCTCACAGTCTTGTTCTTATCACTCCCTCCTCTGAATTAGAGCAAGAGCACGAAGATAAATACAATACTGCAATATATGGCTCGATACTGAATAAGATCACTCTGCTGTGACATGCCTCACACTTCAGCTCTACACAATGATACAGTTATCTAAGGTTTGAGGAGACTGAACAGCCTGTAATGTATTAACAAACTTTTCATTTTGGAGATAGTGTCAGGAGCTGAAAAACAACTCCAATTTACCATGCCGCTTTGGTTATTTCCCCTTCAATATGAGGTGTTTTCTCCCCTCTAATTCCCCCACCAGATCTGTTGGAGCAGCAATACACTTGCGAAGGCTGAGCAACATGAACAGAAACCAAGCACTGGGGTTAAGATCTAGTGAAAAAAGCCCAGAGAGGCACTTTTTCTGCAGCTTCAGATATTAACATTATAAAAGAAAACTTGCAGCAACTCCTATTTTAAGTTTCTCAAAGGAGCTTTAAGATCATTTTAAGAAGCCCACTGCCTGTAAGACATCTGGCATCCAGAAAGCAGAACAGTCTCTGGCTGCAGAAGCGCCTTTTTTCTACTCTGAGCCTACATTTAAAGTGTCACTGGCACAGCAAGGACAGGGAGATACACAGAGCTTGGTGGGGTTTTTTGTTGGTGTTTTTTGGGGTTTTTTTTTTGTTTGTTTGTTTGTTTTTTAAACTGACCCAGCTACAAGCCTGGCGCCTGGCTACAGCTTCAACTTCCCCTGAAACCAGTCATGCTTTTGCTTGTGTGGCTGACTGCTGAATTGGCAAAACCCACCTTTGTAAAACCACTTTTGCCATAACACCTTTTTGTGTCTGCATTAAAGAAGCCAAAAGGTAGATAAAGCTTTTGCCAACAATATCTTGGTCTATTGGAACAGATGTTATGAAGTGATAAAATAAACTACCATTTCCTCCGTGTTTTAGCTACCCAACACAAGAACTGAATTTGCTCCTCATGAAGGAACTCAATGGTAGGTGGATAAGCGTGAGAAGAAACGCATCTATGGCTGATTTAGTTCCTCTATAAGCCACAGGATGTGCAGAACTATAAAAAAGTGGGGGAAAAGAAGGTGGAAAAGACATTTCTACAAGGACTGAAAGGATTCCTGGAAAGAAGAGGGGCAATTAACAGACACATGGAAAAGCTCCTCAGTTAGGATATTACTAGCTTCTTTTGTTGTCGTTGGTCACTAGAACTATCTTTACAGTAAGCATTAATAAAAGGAAAGACATAAAAAGATTAAAATCTACATATAGCTGTTCCCTTCCGCTTAGCATGCTTGTTAATCTCACAGGCATTGCTGAAATGAAAAGACAAATACAAGAAAGAAAAGGTGATGAGGAGCGCACACACTTCATTACAAACCGGTACTTGACATTTCTCTTAGTTACAGAAAAGTTTTACGACACCAGTGACTAATATAACTCCCCAATCCTTGGTCAGCTTCAGAAACCCTTGCCATAAGGTCAAGGTCAGGACAATGTTAGTGCCTTAATGAAAAAGGGAATATGGCATATCTAATGATTTGTGTCTGTTTGTTTTTCTCCTTACCTATAATAATGCCACAGTGATTGTTTGCTTTCATTAAGTGATGCTGAGATCTTTACCTGCTGATGGACCCTCACTGCCCACCCCGGGGCACAGCCAGGGACCTGATGGTGGAACTGAGAGATGGATGTTTCATGCTGAAGACCACAAATTTAGGGCTGTCTTCACAGGGAAGTTGAGTGAAGGTGGCAGAATCCTGTTAGCATGCAATTGCATAGTACCTTAGATAACCTACTATTTATGTTAATGTTACCCACCTGAGGGAGGCTCCGCTAATGAATCTATTTTTGTGGTACCATAAAGGTTGAAGTTTAGAGCTAAGTTTAGAGCAGAGACATATAAAAAATGGCAAACCAGGAAATAGCTTAATGAAAGCAGAGAGTAATCACAGCAAATTACAGTGAAATTTCTATGGGATTACATTTTGCATTCCCCAAACAAGCAGAGGAATTAATCTCACTTAGCATCGTTCCATTTTGCTGAGAATTCACTGTAAAGATATGCTACATAATTAACATAATGCAATACCATAAAAGTTGTCTTGAATGTTACAGTCTAAGATGCTTTTCAAAATGTTCAGGTTTCTTCCCACTGCAGTCCATGGAAAAATAGCAAGATATGCCCCAAAAAACCATACAGGAAAAAATAAAAAGTAATATTAGGAGGAATACAAGACACATGTTTTATTTTGTGGCTGGTAACAATGAGGTAGGTCCCTTTCTAAACTCCAACATTTAGAAACCAACCAGCAGTGGATGTGGTAGGGCAGTTCACCCCAGGAGAAGAAAACTGGTATTCCTGGTGTGCTTCCAAAAATCACTGCAGAATTTGACCTCTCCCCATTGGCAAACCCAGGTTTTGCACAAGGAGCATCTAGGAAATCCCCTGTGGTCGGCATCTCACCTAGCTAGCTCGAACCTCCTCTGAAAGTGCGTATACAGTTTGCATATACATGTACAGTACATATACCTTCCTCTCCCATGCTTCAGATTACCTTTCTTTCATCCAGGCTTTACAGCCCACAGTCCAGTAATAAAAACAAAAGCAATTTCACATCCCTTTTTACCATATGTAGTGATTTTCTCTGCTTTTCAACGAGTCTCCAACATAAGAAGTTGGGAACTTCTGACCTCATTCCGTTACTATTGCACAGCTCTGGATGGTTAGTTTAGCAATAAAAACATGTTGACTTTTGGGAAACAGTGTCACTGCAAATCTCTCAAAGCTAATTCTTGATGACAGCCACTGTAAATATACTGCAACATGCACAGAGCCACAGCCTGGCTGCATTAAAGGCAACACAAGTTTCACCACTAAATTCAGCAGGACCTTGAACTGGTCCATAATGAGTAACATGAAAAAAGATTGAGATCCATAAGACAAAAAAAAGAGGAAAAAGAAGTGTGTGAATGGGATATTGTGTATTAACTGTAAGGAGAGGAAATTCACAAACCAGAAGCATGCCATGTATCAGCTTAAAATGACCTGTGAATACTTTACTTATAAAGTCTATATGATCTGCTACAGAGCAGTTACCCTTTCAAATGAGAGTATTTTGCAATAGAAAAAGCCCCTAATATTTAGCTTTTCATAAGTTTATAGAAATGGATAGAAATGGGCCAACAAGATTAAAGACCTCATGACTTTATAGTTTAATACTGTTAAAATTTACTTACCAGTGCTTTGGTGTTTTAACCCCAATCTATTCCCTCAAATTTTTATATTTTCTACAGCACTAAGTCACAGAGTTGTGCTGTTCTCCCCACTCAGCAAGCTTGGAGGGAGGAATAGGAAAACATACCCAATCTGTCTGAAAGGTAGCAGGACAAAGATTGTAAAACAAGTGGTAAGAACTGACCCACGTTTTCCTAAAAATTAATGGTGTGCCTTCTTAAAGCACGCTAGATAGAAATGTGGCTCCTGTATTTTCATCTACAAAATACCAAACAAAGCTAAAATGTACAGTATGTTTTTCAGGGCAACCAAAGTCTGCTTTCCACACCTGTGCTGGATGCAGTTGTGCTGGCTCAAAGGGCAGTGTGTACATAGTGGCCATTTTTCCATGCACCCCAGCTGGAGAGGAAGAGATATTCTGAACAGCTTCCCAGGCAATATCTGGATGTGAAGTATTTCTAGGCACAATCCTAACACTGTTACCGTAGCAAATCCACACTTATCATTTGGTTCAATGCCTAAAACAAATTCTGAGACTACTGATTTAAAACCAGGTCATCTCATACTGATACCATCCCTGTGCATTCATGGGTTGGCTTTCCACAGGTCAATAGATTCCAAACTACTTTTGAACTGAACACCAGCTTTGCCCTGTGGCACAAAGTATTTTAAAACTCAAACCATACAAGACACAGGGTAAGAGCTCAGCCTTCTGCAAAGGTCAGCTCAAATGCAGCGTTACAAATAAAGAACATGCTCCCAGGTGCAGCAGGGACACCACCTCATGCTCCAGACTATGCCCAGCTTCTGCAGTCAGGCACAGCAGAGGGGTGGACCATGGACCAAGTAACTGGTTACTTCCCAGGCTGCGAGTAGGAAGGTGACATCTCCTATACATGAACAGGAGACATAACAGCAGGGGAGCTCGAGGCTGGTGTCAGTTTTTGTGACTCATGCCCACGCCTGAATGTGACAGATAATCTGAGACTTTTCATCTCCCAGGAAAGTCTTTGCTAATTGGCATACAGATGCAAAGACTCAGAGGATCTTCTATTTTTTTTGTTGGTTTTGGGGGTTTTTTTAAAGCACAAAAACTGGCATGTTAAGAAAAGAAAGGTCTTCACAGAAAGCTAAATCAAATCCCATAACCTCATTTAGCCTCTCCACTTCCAGACAAGTCTGAATTCAGAAACAAAGAGCAAGAAAAAAAGAAAGAGCTTAGAAATGAAAATAAGAATGTTTTCATTACCTTTTCTGCAAGCCAGCCTAGATGTCTAATCTCTCGACTTCCAGCAACGCCTGTTTTACCCAGCTGGTCTCTGACCTCTGCAATCACCCTGGGGATGAGCTCATTGACACTGGAGTGAATGGCATTGAACCAGGCCTGGGCTGTAGCTGAATCCTTACTCCTGAGCACCACGGTGTGCTTGGCATCAGGTGAATGAACTTCAATAAGTCTAGAAAAACGGGGGAGGCGGGAAACATTATGTTCACTCAGATACCATTAGGCAGCTAAGTTTATTACCTTGCTTAGTGTTAGCAACTAGTTAAAAAGATGCTAATATCAAGACCTAGCATTAAAAACTTACCTTTACAACATCTGAATAGAGTAGGATCATCTTAACTGAAGCATGGTCTGTACTGGCATTACAGTAAAAGCCTAGAGAAGGCAATGTGTCAGAGCTGATGCAACCCACATCTAGTGTGTCAATAGGAGATTCAAATATAAAGACAAGAGGAACATTCATCAACACAGCAACCACCCAAAACTGCATGGGAGATGACTGCAGAGAAGCTGCTGCCTTCCTTAGCTGGTATCATGACACACCCGGAGTTGCCCAGTGTGTTTATTTTACACATAGAGCTAAATGAAAACCACCCTTATTCCAAATGGAGGAGTTTTCTTAGGACTGTGCTGTGGTTTCAATGATAACACTAAGCGTCAATCAGAAACCCACCACAGTTGGCCTTCTCCAGGGGTTACCAACATCCTCAGTTCTTCATTTAGACCTTGCTAACAGTGTCAGCAAGAAAGCGCTAACCACAACTGTATGATTGCTGCTGGCAGGCATCTTTTACAGTTTTCTAAACTCCTGTGGAGAGATATTAAAAAAAAACAAAAAAAACCAAACACCAAACATGCTTACTAGACCATCATGTGGGCTTCCACCTCACCACTGTGGTCTGAAAAGCAGAAACAAATCTAGTTTTCAGGAAAATTAATCCTGTCCATCACAGTTATGGGATCTGTGCCAACACCTTTGCTAATAACGACAACAAAAATGCTTTGAGAGGCAACTGCAGCTATTTCAGCTCTGTTCTCAGTGAAGTTATCAGTTATTAGTGGGGCTTTATGTGCTCTTTATAGCTTTGTGGGACACTTTTACTTAAACATTTGTTAAATAACCCACAAAGTAATAGTCTGGTTTATCTTTATGTAGCAATTATAAAACTAAGCTCTGGCCATTGCCTGTCACTCAACTCCATATCACATTTGTGCTTTTTCATGATAAATGTACAGTGACTGCCCCTGAACGTTACCCACACAAATTTGACCTGGGATCTGAGCCTAAGCACGTATTTCTGTTCTGTGTACTGCTGCCCAATCTTTGGGACACACAACTCCTTTCTGTAGCAGAAAAGTAATTAGTTCAGTGGAATTTATTCAGGTTGAGGTTCAAAACAGTACTGTAATACAAATATTTGTTATGCAATTACAACATCCTGCAATTTGGAGCTTAACTAACAATTAAGAGGTTTTAATTAATTGGTTAAACCAGAACAGAATCTAGAACAGAGGGCAACTCAATCTGCGTAGCTCTCTGGGGCTCAGAGAGTGAGGACTGCTGGTCTCATGTTTGTCCATTTTGGGAAGGGGAGGTCTCCACATAGACACTGCTCTAAAGATAGAAAAGGTCATGATTTTCCAAACTCAGCAGCTGAACTGTTCAGGGTCCTAAATCACTGTTTGGATAGCTTAAAAAGTGGGTTGATTTTTCAGAAAGCGCTGAGCCAACACAATAATGCATGTTTCCTCAGTAAAGCTGCTGGAGCCCAAGACTTTCTGAAAATAAAGGTTCTTATTTAGCTGCTTCAGGATGCACCAAGGATTCAATTTCAGGTACCAAAAGAAAAATTTCTTGTCAGATAATGCAGGTCTCGTGGATAAGAAAACTGAGTGTGTAGATAGGCACGTTCCCAATCACACTCTCATTTGTTCTGATGACCATCTCCCTGATGGTTATGATTTAGTCATTTGTGCCCAATGATCATTACAACCATGCACAGCTACCACACCCTGGTCTGTCTTTCCATCAGAAACACTGCTCTCGCACTGCCATATGAACTTGAGTTTGAACTTGCTCCTGTAGGCAGCTATCACTGGAAGCAAACTATACAGACTTGGATTTTCAAAGTACATTGTGGAAATAAGTGAACCGTTGCTTATTACTTACAGAGAACTTTCTGGCACGAGATCTCACACAATTTTACAAATGAGGTCAGTGACAGCATCCCCATTTGACTGCCGAAAAGTGGAAAGGTGCATAACCTAGACAAGGCGGGGAACAAGCCAGTAGCAGCACTCAGGATTTTCTGCACTCTACCTCCCATTTTTATATTTCTTTTAAAGACAAAAATTATTTGGACAGCATAGCAGTATTGTGCTGGGTTTGAAAAATGTTAAAGCACCGCATGGATTGTGTGAAACAATGCTTTTTACAAAGCCTGTGGTTTCTACAAGGGAACTCCCACCCCCTCGTGGGGTAAGCAAAGTGCTGAACAAGGACCATAAAGACTCAGAAGAATGTGCTGCTTTTTCAGTTGCAAAGGATCAGCAGCAAACTTGTTAATTTCTTTTAAAGTTAGAGTTGTAGCAGGCTTTGGTTTAAAAATAAATTATCCATAGCTGAAAGAGCTTCCAAACTCTCTTCCCCCCAATTTGGAAAGCACTTAAATTCTTAAAGCAACTGGATTAACATACAAACAAGTATTTTGTTACTTGGGCCTTCAAAGTGTATTTCCATTGCTGGTGGCTTTTTAAGTATTTGTACAAGAGTTCTGCCCCCTAAAATAACAGACATTTAGACAGCTCTCAATTCTGTTTCAGGGGTTCTAAACTACTCATATTCTAATATATACACAGTCAACTGATATGTCAACGTATAAATTCTAGTATATATGCGCACACACACACACTGAGCCATACTTGCAAAAATACTCTTAAAAATATCATCCCTCAGTGACTTCTAATGGGGCTATTTTGGGGACTGCTTGTCAGTCATCAAAGTTTGATGGTAATGCACTAACAGCTGCTTTAGAAAGTTTACCTAGTTCCCTGAGCTGAGTGACAGGAATATTGGACAATACATGCTACACTTCTCAAAAGTGAGTTCAAAATAGGAATAAATGCTGCTTTGACAGCCCTGAAACTGAATCCTTTTATCCACAGCACTGGTCTAGCCTGAGGAATAGGTCTGCAAGCATCATTCCTGTGCAAGCTGCTAGGTAGGGCACCTTTTTTATTCATGCCTTAAGGACAAACGTCTAAATCCTCAATTGTCTGAACTCTGCTACTGGCTATTGCTATATGACCTGGGCCCTAAACTATCCTTATGAAACTGTGCTTGCATATTTCCACTAAAGGTCCAGGACTCCTGTCTGCAGTCAGATGGGCTGAATATAGTAAGAGAAGCTTAAAATCTTCCTAGAAACCCATGGACTCTGACCGCAATCAGATGCTGAAAGCACTGCATCCCTATAAACTCTTCCCTTTTCTGTCTTTCAGCCTACACTGCTTTGATTCACCAGTCCATCTGGATGATGTGTTTTGTGTAACAGATGACTGATGGCATTTCCATATTTTTTTGAAAAGTAAAAAAAAAATACCAGTGACCTTAAAGTCCAACACCAAAGCACTTAAATGTTTCCAGCAGTCCAACCATTGTAGCTTTGATTTGTTCCTTGGCTAAACTGACCCCCGCTTACTGACTTCTGTTTATCTGCAGTTCAGTGATAAAGTTCCCTTAATTCCCCACTGAATTGAAATATTTAGGGCAATGCCACAGCTGTGTTTATTCTCACACTCCACCACAGTTATGTAAATACTGCATATGGAGCTGTTTCTGATAAAGCCCACACCAACCCAAAGGAATTATATGTAAGCTCTAGATGGCTGCCAAGATGCGCGGCATCTCTCCAGCTTGGCACTGCATATGAATGATATCACATTTTCTCAGAGATCATTTGGCAAACCTTATAATAAAAGAGTAATTTTCTCTCTCCTTCTCAAAGAGTCCCACTGAGCTGAGGAGTGTTTCCAGCATCCCCTCCTCCACCCACAGAAGACAGGGGTGACACAAACCCCAGTGCCTCAAAATGCTGTAACCTTGCACATAAGAGGCCAAAACTCCCTCCCTTGCTACATCATCCAGAGTTTTCACTTTACAGAGGATCAGAAGAAGCTGAAAGCAAATGTTTGATAGACCATACTCATTCCACATTTGATAAGGCCTCTTTCTGTAGGAGTGTTTATTATCCAAGAAATACCTTTTATCAAATCTATTGAAAGCACTTCTCCCACCAGCATTGGCTCAGGACCAAATCAGGCACTGATTTACACTTTATGCTTCTTCCCAGGTCAGATTATGCATTCAGTAACTGATTAAAGTGTGGAGTAAATCCCTTGAAGTTAATGATAAGCTGGAGCCAGATTTATTTGAGTCCATCACACTACTTTGATTTCACACCGGCATAGCCAGGAACAGAACACTTTGCCACTGACTCTGCAAACTTAAAAAGGGATCAAGGGCCAAACTGCTCACTCCATCTCCTCCATTATTGTCTGCACATGAAAGCAAGGTAAATAATTTTGTTGATTTCTGAATGTACAAACACAGGAAACTTTCTAGCATAAGGATGGATTTAGAGGAACACAATCAGAGAGTATATTTAAATAGTTGTAGGTTTTTTCATAAAATAAGTAAAAAACCCTGTTAAGGTTCTTTTTCAGTTCTACATCCAGCATCAGGGGATGAACCAGGAATAAAATACATTAAAATTAAGCAATGGAAACTTTGGGTTTAGTCTGCAAGGAAAATATTCCACAGAGAGACTCTTAGGCTTGCAACAAATTCGCCAGCATACACTGAAAAAGCATCTTCATTTGACGCACCTAAATGGTGGTGAAAGCAATTTTACTGAGTGAGGGCTATTTGGAAATCAAGTGGAATTTTTCTCTGTGAATGTCTCTCAGTCCCCTCACCGTCACAAGGATATCCATTGTATTAACAGTCACTTGCTGACTTTCAACTTACAGTGGTAGAAACAATGTAGATGATACTCATTTCTTAGGAACTGGACTAGACTGATGTCCAAACACAGAGGGTATAGATATAACTAATGAGCTGTCACGATTTAATTTCTATTTGCCACCAGCTGGGCTTTAATCATGTATCAG